ATGATGATCTCCTTACCTAACTTATGCTTATGTAGAAAGCTTTTGAGTTCATAAAGAGGTGTAAGTAGGCATGATAATATGTGGTGCTATAAATCAAGATAATTCATTTTAATCACGCATTTTCACTGTTATAAAGTTATATTAAAGAAATTATGAATCACTTAAAGAAGTGAACTATGCCAAAAAATTGATCAGCTCCATTTACCAATAAAATTTATTTGCAAAACGTTTTTTTTTATTTCCGAGGTAATTCTTAAATAGTAAGTTAAAATTCAGTCTTCTAGGCCTATTTTCTGAAAAAGGATAAGTGAATTTATAAGAACTGCAGGTGTGAAATAAGCCAAATAACCTTGTTTTAATAAAATGACACATATATCAACTTAAATAAAATTATTTTCTAAACAGATTATAATGAACTCAGGGTATGGGACTTTCAATATTCTTAATTTGCTAGTTGTATGGAGTGACGCTAAGCAGAAGGTGATTTAAGTTACAGGGACAAAATCGTGTTATTATTAAAATTTAATTAGGGTAATAGGTTATTAAATTTTTTGTTTTTGTTTTACTTTACTTTTTGCGCTTGGCGCTCTTGTCCGTCCACGGTCGGCTTCGCGCTGCCGACTGCCCCAGCTCTTGGTTTTCCCCTCTCTCCATTCTAAAATGTCAAGTCTATTTCTTTTTACTCATACACAAACAAAGGATGGTCGTTCACAATCCCAAATCCAGTCGGATGTTCACGAAAAGTAAGTATAAAGTGAATTGTTGCATAACGTGTGATTTCACAAAACATGTAACTCATTTACATGAGTTTTAGACTCAAGGAGATATCCGAAAAGATTAAGCGCGATGGAATTTCTCTTCCTGAGATACTTCGACCCCTTACACAATGCGCGGTGGCGGATTGCGTCATAGGTCCATCTCACATTGCAATGAGGCTTGAGGTATTGCTGTTTTTCTCTTATTTCCAAGGATGGCCGCGTTTGCAGGATTGGTTTTCACATAAATCCAGAACGTGTTTTATCTAAAAGCGAGAAGAAGTTAGTATTTTTGAATTTTATATTTGTCTTAGGCGTGGTAAACTTGGTGACTCTCGGACTGGTGGTTCCGCTTCACTGCGAGATGGCTCTTCCGCCGCTGTGCGTGGTTCTTCGGGGGGGCCATGTGCTCGCTCAATTCGTTCACCACTAAATCTTCTAAGCCGTAGTTCACGAGGAATAAATTTACCGAGAGAAATGCAACGTCAAGGGATTTGTCTTTCAAGACCTCTAGCGTCAAGAATTCCTGCCAGCGAAGTTCCAGAATCATTTATTGAACAGTGTCAAACAGTATTACAGGTATTTATTTAGAATTTTTACCTTTTTGAGTACTAAGGTTATTCATATTTGTACCTTAACTCATGTATTTACTATCTAGGGTAAATCGCGCCAGCTCATTATACGCGAGTTACAACGCACTAATCTTGATGTCAACATGACTGTGAATAATCTTCTTTCAATGGATGACGAAGCGGATCAAAGTGGAGGTAACGCTGGAGGGGCAGGAACAGGATCTGGTGGTGCGAATAGTGCTGATGATTGGGAAGATGATACTGAGGATCTCTTGTCCTTACTTGAGCATCCTGAGGGACACTTTTTATTTGAACCAGATAGTCTTGTGGGCGAAGAATTCTTCGGGCCAGTTCGCTATCGTACCGATATTTCACAGGATTATGGTAACCGTTCTAAAGTTTATACTCATGGCGTCATTTATTTCCTGTATTTAGTTTCCTGATTTGTGTATGATTTTTTTTCCTTTTACCCATCGGTGCCATTACATACCTTTGTATCTCACAATTCATTAAGTTTTATATTACGGCCTTCTATGGATCCGCTGCATTGTCTTCGTTTACGACTCTTGATTATTCGCTTGTGCAGTTCTTTAATGTACACACTTATCCAGTGCTTATTGAAGTTTCATTGATTCATCTTTTCACGAAGTATTTTGTTAATAACTATATTTTACATATATACACCAAATTCCGTGATATCAATCCCGAAGCATCTATTTTTGAATGCTTTCGTTTATAGATTATATTAATAGGGAAAAGATTAATTTTTAACGCAAACAGGCATTTAGCTTGCATTAGTGCTTTCACCTGTTTTTATCTATACTTTTTTAAAGTTTACAATTTTTCCATTTTCCTACATATTCTTATCACACAGATTATTCATTCGTCAGTGATCGTCGGAAACGGCGACGTCTGGATACTCATCTTTATTTGCGTGGCTCTGAAATTTATACTAACAGATCTAGTGTTACCGGTGGAGCAGGAATTGGAGAATCTTCTGGTCGCTCAAATGTTCTTGACCCTCTGCATCCTCTGAACTTCCACGTAGTTGCTTATTTTCGTTTTAATTAAGTTACGTAAATACAAACTTACCAATATTTT